AAGTGCCTTCTAAAAAATAATTGAAATAAATATTTAGAGTATACATTTATGATTTAAATTAACTTATCTGTAAAAAAAGGAAATTTTTAATAGTCTTTTAGGCAGTGAAGAAATGATTTTTTGATTTAGTTGCTCTTTGATGAATTCAAGGGCCAAACACTTCAAGAATTTTCTTCAAAAGAGCTTCTAAAGGTGTATTTTAATTTTTTGCTTCTTCACCTTTCAAGCCTAGTAAATGTGTAATGACATTAGGCGTTCTCAGCTTTACTGTTTGTGAAGGACAATTTTTGAACCATTTGATTTTCGAGGCTCTCCCTATATAAAAATGTGTTTGTGGGATAATTCCCTTATTCCACAAAATTCCTATATCTGAATATATTCCAGTGTCACTTCCATAAAAATGTTCATTTAGATGATCTTCTTCAATATCACCTTCTACAATAATCTCTTCTTGATCTAATAAATATGACCATCTTCCCTCCATTTTATATATAATTATAGGCTGATAAATATATCAACCTATTATAGTTATTTTTTAAATTATTAATTCGAATTATTTATCTCACTTTAAAAAATGTTATAAAAAAAATGCAACAAAAAAATTATGTGAGTGCGTGCGCCGGGTATTTTTTTACCCGACAGTGACAATAGATGGAATTTCAGTGGGAGCTGTCAAAATGTGAAACCAAAACTTTATAATAATTGATGAGTCAGGAAGCTAAACGAAACCACATCTCCGCCAACCGATTTTTTATTGGTTAATTCTCCATTCAAATGTTGCCATGGGTAATTTTCACCCGGCGCGCGCAATGCCGGGTTAAAACATCTCAACACAGAAAAACCAAGCGGGGGTCCACTCCAACCCGACCACACACCCGAGTATACAACCGGATAATTATTGAGATATTATATGATATATTTCCGGTAGATCTATTTTTCTATTGATGCTGTTTGTTTGTGTTGATATGATGGATTCCAGTACCAATCTGTGCTGCTTATTATTTATGTGTTGATATAGGATTTTAGGATGATCTAAGTTAAAGTTATGGCCAGTGTTTGAAATATGTTGGTATATAAGCGATTTCGGGTCTCTATTGTTTATGTTTCGTTTGTGTTCGGTTATTCTTGCCAGGATTGCCCAGCCTCCTATGTGGGACAGACTGGCAGAACCGCGTATATCAGAATAACCGAACACAAACGAAACATAAACAATAGAGACCCGAAATCGCTTATATACCAACATATTTCAAACACTGGCCATAACTTTAACTTAGATCATCCTAAAATCCTATATCAACACATAAATAATAAGCAGCACAGATTGGTACTGGAATCCATCATATCAACACAAACAGCATCAATAGAAAAATAGATCTACCGGAAATATATCATATAATATCTCAATAGTTATCCCGTTGTATACTCGGGTGTGTGGTCGGGTTGGAGTGGACCCCCGCTTGGTTTTTCTGTGTTGAGATGTTTTAAATTATACTGGTTTTTAAACTATACAAAATTTTAGTGTCACACTACTTGCATACAGTGAATATCATCATTTTACTTAACTTTTAGCGTATATAAAAGTATTTGCCATAATTTTATCTAAATTTTAAAAATCTTTAAGTTCATTTACATAGTTTTATTTTTATATTTCATAGTCATAATTCCTATTTCTATTTTAATTACATTTGAAATATCACTTCGCATGTAAATTCATAAGTTGTATATAATGGCTCAAGCGCGCTTATACCCTGTTAGTATAGTCATACTAGCCACGCCTGTAGAAGGACCGAAAGGTTCGAAAGCTTGCATAAGTATAATAAAAGATCCTCCTTCGTAAAACTTTTTATTCGTTATACAAGATTTAATTATTAATATTTTAAATACCTGTGATTAATTTATAGTGTCAATATATTTATAAAGGACTTTTTATTTTAATAATTTTATATTAGCAATTTTTTAATTATGTTTTAGCGCCAACGTAAACAAAGAAATACTGGCGTAATACGTTCCAATGGTGCCAACGGTTATATTTATAAATAGGCATATCCAAAAAAATAAAAATTATAAAATTAATATTAATATAAATTACATTAGCCTAACCTAAACCTAACCTAAACTAATCAAACCTAACCTGAACCTAACCTAAACGAACCTGAACCTAACCTTAAACGAACCTAACCTGAACCTAACCTTAAACGAACCTAACCTGAACCTAACCTTAAACGAACCTAACCTGAACCTAACCTAAACGAACCTGAACCTAACCTTAAACGAACCTAAACGAACCTGAACCTAACCTTAAACGACCTAAACCTAACCTGAACAAACCTGAACCTAACCTAACCTTAAACGAACCTAACCTAACCTTAAACGAACCTAAACCTATCTTAAACTAACCTAAATTAATTACGAAATTTTAATATTAATTAATAATTAATTTTATAATAATTTAAAATATCGGACACCATTGCTCTCAAGATATTAACATCATGTGCATTCATAACACACACGTGTTTACAATTGCGCTAAATATTTTCAAAAAAATTTCTAATTTAAAATAGAAGGCCATTTAGACAAAAAATAAATATAGTGAAAATATAAATTAATCACAGGTATTTAAAATATTAATAATTAAATCTTGGTTAAAAAAAAAAACAATGAATCAATCATAACCTTTACATCGCGCGTCATCATGACGTCATCGTGATGTCATATTTCAGATCTGGCCAAAACTCTCGGGGTCACCCCATAGTGGGAAAACCTTGCAACCATTCTGGAAAGTCATTGTCCGTAGATGACCAGACTTAAGTCTGGAAATCAAAGACTGTTGTTCTCTTGGGAGGACAGAACCGGTGCTTGTCCCTCCTGCTCTTGTATACTAAGTTTTTGTTTTTCATTATAGTCATGTAATTTTTATTAGGGTGGCCCAATCTTTTATGCCAAATATCCCAATTAAGTTTGAAGACTTTATCTTCTTCATCCCTTGAACCAGAGGAGTTTATTATATAAAAATCATCAATTTTTGGAGCTTCCAATATGACTTGATCCCTGAAATCCTTGGTACAATTTGAAGGTTTTAGATAGAGTGCCATTTTATTTGACCCTGATGTATCTATTTTTAAGGAAATCATTTATCCAAGTGATAGCTTTTCCATCAATTTTGAAATGTTTGTATAATTTTGTAATTAACTTGTTTTCCATACCTTATCAAAAGCTTGTGTAAGGTCTAAAAAGCAGCTATTGTGTGGTTAGTTAGTTTTCTGTTTTGTGCATCTTTTGCCTTTTGTGTGAAAAATAAGAGTTGGTCTATTGTCCCATGTCCTTTCCTAAGTCCATATTGTTCTTCTGGTAAGAGATTTCTTGTGTCGAGGTGGTAGGTGAGTCATCTGAGTATAATTTTTTCCATTAATTTGCTGCAAATACTTGTGAGGGAGATAGGTCAGTAGTTTTTTGGGTCATCAGCAGATTTGTCAAGTTTTTGAAAATATCAAGAAGTCTTTTTTTGCCATTTTTGCCCAAGTTTGATATCATTTGGCCATGGATTCCATCTGGCACAGGAGTCTTGTTTAGGTCAGTGTTTTCTAATGCATAATCTAGCTCTTTCATATTGATTTTTTCAAGGAAAATATTATGAGTGCTAGTGACGTTTTTACAGTCATGGATAATCTTTCGGGCCTTTTTTCAACTTTCTTATCTTTTACTCCAAATTTGATTTTACTACTTATTTGATATGAATTAGCTAAAAGATGCTGCTAAAAGATTAGCAGCATTTTTGTCATTAGTTGCTGGGGTACCATCTGTATTCTTAATCATATTTGTGTTTTCAGTTTGTGGCTGGGCTCTGTCAATTTGTTTTGCCAAATGCCAGTTTTGTATTTGGGTTTCTTGGGTTCAGGTTTTCACAAGTTTGTTTCAATTTTTCCCTTTTCATATTTACGTATAATCTTTTTATTTTTGCATTCACAATGTTCAGTTCAGTACTACAATTTGTTTGGTTTTAGGTGCACTTTTTTTGTAGTTCATTTCTTTTAGATGTAAGTGTTTGAATATTTTTTGCCTGGTGTGTATAATTTGAAATCCATTTCTTAATATTACCTCTTGGTATTGAAACTGTCATATTTTGTTTGTAGGTTCTTAAGTTTGGAAGTCAATTTTTATCAATACTATTCGATTTATAATTTTTCTATTATACTAAATGATCCAACAAAAAAACTTAAAAAATAAATTTAATACCGTACTTAAAAACTGGAGAAAAAACAAAAATAATAATTATACCCTTTTAACCAAGTTGAAAAAGTATGATGCACATGTTCCAAATAAATTAATGATGCTCCAAAGGTTCACAGGCCTAACTGTCCATTACGCCCAATAGTAAACAACATGGTTAGCACAACAATTGAAAATCTACCAATATTTTAATGAAAATGAAATTGTTAACTCCTATGAATTCAAAGAAGATATTGAATTATATCTTTAGATGTTGAATCCATGTTTACTTCAATACCCACAATTATGGATGCACCATGTGATAAAAAAAATGCCAAAATCAGAATTTTAAGTAGAATTTTGTTTAAAAACAACGTACTTTATTTATGATGAACAAATGAAACGTGCAACAATGTTTCACCAAATGTATTTCTATAGGTCAGTTAGAAATTGTGGCTCTGAATTCACTAAAAAATGATGTCTACTATTTTAGAAGATATGTGGATGACTTCAGGGAAGTGAGCAAAGAATATTTCCTGGACATAAAATTAACATATACCATTATTGCCACCTCTATATATAAAAAGCTGACAGGAATGTATTGAACTATAGTTCACAGCACCATTCCAGTCAAAAAGTGGGGTTGGTCAAAGCTCTTATAAATAGGACTTTTGTACTCATTGATGATGTGGTTAAAAGAAATCAACATATCAAAAAAACACCTGATCAAGGAAGATCAAATTGTTAGATCGAATAATAGAAGATATCAATAAAAAATACAAAAATAATACTTTGATTCAGAGTGCAAAGTGGAAAACCAGGAAGCCAAATTTATAACATTGTCATATATAAACCAAAGGTTGCAAAAATTTCACCAATATATTCAAAAAATATAAATATTGCATGGGAACATGTAACACTGAGAACTTTGAGTGTTGTAGCGCAAGAGAATATTTACACTTTTATAATACTTTTATTTCAACACCACATCAAACCTCTTTCTGAAGTTGCAGAGCCAATGTTGAGACACCAATACAAGTGGCAATTTGGGCCTTTGTAGACAAATGTTGGTTTTACCTACACTCTATTGTTACCTTTGGTATTTAACTCACCCCAACTAGAAAGCTGTTCAGTGAAACAAATTCTGTGGTTCCAGACTTCCTTCAATGGTGAAGGATGCATAAATTTGCCAGGCCTGGACAACTGGCAGATTCCACCCAGATGTGGGAGCTAGAGCATCAGCAAGGAAGTCTGATGGCAAGTCTCTTTTTATTGCTCTCATTTCTAACCTTTTATTATCACAATGTCATGTGTATAACCATTTGTCTTCTTTCTTATCTCATAACCATTTGTCTTCTTTCTTATCTCATAACCATTTGTTATAATGTCTAGTGGGAATTTCTTAAGAGAGTCCCAATTTATAAACTGAAATGTGTCTAGGGTGGAAAGGGGACATTTTTTCCAGATTCTTATCTTTGTTGATAGCAATTCCACTGCCAGACAGTCCAGTTTCATGTTGGCTACCGTCAGTGTAAATTGTGATGTCGAAGAGGGAGCTATTTTCCTCAATGATTTGGAGGCCAAGAGCTTTAAGTAATTCTGGCCGAGTTTCATGTTTGTGGGGATTGGCTGGTAGATGAGGGTAACAGATGTGTTTGTTGTGAGTTCTGTGTGGGGAATAGGAAGTTATGTGTTTGGGATTAATTGGAATGTCTAAGAGATGCGAGCCATGTTGAGAGGAGTTGGGTGTTTTAGTCTTTGATTTGGGACCCAATTTCTAAAAATTTTCCTATAAGATGTTCTTCTGGAGAGTTAATCTTTTTGGTTATGAATTTTGAAAAGCAGATTTTTCTCCTTAGGTGTAGGGAAAGAAGGTTGTATTTGAGTTCAGCATTGCGATTTGGGCAAGATCCTTGAAGCCCCCTGATGATTTGAGCTGCGCTTGGATTCTGGATATATTGGTTTTACTTGCATTGATCCAGGCTGGTGTAGCATATTCCAAAATAGGTCTTACGAGTGCACGGTACATTGTGCGTAAGATATTGGCATTTGCACCCCAGTTAAGCCTGATATTTTATTCAGGATTCTGAGTCGGCTTTGTTTTATCATGGTGTCAATGTTTTTTAAAAGTCAGAGCAGGGTCAAGTGTGACACCAAGATATCTTGGGGAATCTGAATATTGGATTATTGAGTTGTTCAATGAAATATTTGGGGTCCACTGGCGAAAGTGGTTGTTGATGGTGAAGAGGCCAATTTCAGATTTGCTGATGTTAATTAATAATTTCAGTTTCTCTGTTATCTTTTGCAGATTTTTCATGGCTTTATTCAGAGAGTGTTCTGCATCAGAGAGGTTGTTTTTGGAGACCCAGATGATTCTGTGTAAAGGGCAAATAAGATGATAATTGAAACTGCTGATAATTGGGATATATGATAATTGGGACACCAGATAATTAGGACTAATTATGTCTTCTTCTGTCACTCAATCATGATTATATTTGTGACTCCTGATATTTGAGACTGCAGAAATGATCCCTAATATTGTGAAACATTCCTTTATACTGGATTCCAACAATCATTGCCAGGACCTGTTTGTTGCAGCACTACTATGGAGCCTTCACATGGAACTCCTGCCAAGGAAACAAGACTGCTACCAATGTCCCCTCCTACACCTTCACTTATCCCTGAGAGGGTTTTGAAGGTCAGATCCAATCTATGGTATATTGCACCAATAATTGCAGCAAGCAGCCAATAGAGTTCTTATGCAGTAGCTTCCTACTGAGTGATTATTTATTATGAGTGACAAGAAGCACTGTCAATATTCTCACCGCCAGGCCACAGCCTAATATGACATTCCAGCAACTTGTTACACTGAGCCTCACACACCATTTTTACACTTGGCTCATATTTTATTACATACTAAACAGGTGACCCGGGCTTCGCCCCGGGATTGACCTGTGTGCATATCTACTCGAGTGATATATATTTAGATAAGATTTTTTTAAATAATTGTTTGTTATTAGCATTATCTATTTGTTTGCATCAGCATAATTTAATCTAATCTTTGATAGAGGGCGCTGTTCGTGAGCTAAGTAGAATAATTTGAATATATAGTATTTTATAATTGATTTATATATTTTTTAAAATAGCCTATCATCTTCCCCGTATTTTTTTTACCTATATATGGAAATTTTGGTTTGAATTAGTGAACTACTGCAAATTTGTATACCGGACATACAAACATACAAACATTGATTTCTATATATATAGATGTACACCCCTCTTTATTATTTTTTTAATTTTCAGAACTTATTTGACAAAAAAAAAGATACTCACACAAGCACTCTATGGTATATTGCACCAATAATTGCATCAAGCAGCCAATAGAGTTCCTATGCAAAGATTTCCCAGTATTTAATCAATCCTGAATGCCATCAGGGGTTGTTCCACCATCTAATAACAATAGTCCATCATTGAGGTTGGGTTGGTTGGTCCTCTGGTAGGTCAAGCTGACATGAGTGTAATGTGAGGATTATTACAAGTTCTCTTTCATTGGACGTCAGGAAGTTTCTCTGCTATGTCCACAAAAGGTAACTTGCCCCGTTGATCTAGCAGATGTCTTTGATTATTGGAGCTCTTTGACAGGCCCAAACCACCAATAGGATTCCCTAGATAAAACTTGTAGGAATGTATTTAACTATGTGTGCACACACATATTGTGAAAATATACAAGAATGGAACATAGCACTTGTTGAGGTCCAGAAAGAAGGTGGTGTTAAGGGGGTCTACATATTAGTAGAAAAACCAGGTAGCTCTCATTAAATCCAGAAGGAGAAAGGACAGGGCATATTTTGTCCATTATTTATAAGCCAATATAGAGCAGTAAAACTATCTTTGACCTATCAGAACATGTAAGAACTATAATATATATTACCTGTGCTATACACACCTTCTCATAGTAATATTTCAACCAAATTGTGGACAACCTCCAGGTGAGGCTGGGTTAGGCCTTACATGGGTGGAGACTTGTGCATTGTTTAAAAATCAAATGTTCCATCAAGTAATGTTCCCCTATTTCTTTGACACCTGAAGTGTTATTATGGAGACATATCCGTAAGTTGTACATCTTTAATTCCTGTAAATCATTTCTTGAAATCTCTCTTTTCCAGAATCATACCTGCACAATATGATGTTCAATATCGTCCATTATCATGTGTGCACAGTGTGTGTATAGTCTTTTATCACATGTTTTATCAGATTTTGAAATATGCTCCAGATTGATTTTAAGGACATTGGTTAATGCTGAGGTGAGCTTCTTAACCTTCTCTGAGACTGTTTTTGAAAAATTCATTAAGCGCACTATATAGAATACTAGGGATGTGTGTAGTAGTTTTTGCCATGCCTCATAGCAGCCTGGGAATGCCTTTGCCAATAAATTATCATCTTCTGTTGGGTTGTGTCTCTCCTATTGATAAAGGCATCAACCGTTGCTCTTTTCAGCGCTGTGTTGAACTTCCAATCGGTCAATAAGCAGCTTGCACCGCCTATCCCTCTCTGCTGTTCTCGGTGGCCTTGATGACCGGGCAGGAAAGTGAATCAGTGGAGGTACAGGTGGGCAAGGAGAGGATGGATGTGTGTTTTGTTTGAGTAGGTGTGTGAGAAGATTTGTGGAGTGATTGGCCTCGATGAGGCGTTGTTGGTACGTGTGTGACAGGTGTGAAAAAGTTTTATTCAGGGTTTCGTTAAATCTATTGGTTTGGCACTGTGTTTGTCACCACACCTGTGACATTTAGCCACAGTTTTGTTGTCACAGGCCTTAGAAAGATGCGCACCAGCGCAGTGGCTACATTTAGCCGCCCTAGTGCACTTTCCATTGTTGTGGGTCCTGTGACTCAAGCTGCCACAGACACCACATGGGAATATGCGCTTTGCTCTAGCGAGTCTCAGTGATAGGAAGTCAATTGTGATCCTACCACGCTCGAGCAAGGCAGTCTCTACTTCCTTATTTACTTCTACTATCGCAGTGGAGGGGGCACCCTCTTTCTTAATCAGTTCCACCATCCTGATGTTTTCGCCACTTTTCAGCAGCTTTTCGACAACGGGATGGCTACTAATATCAGCCACAAGCTGCTCCTCAGTTTTCTCTCCAGGAATAACGAAGATAGTAAGCCTGGGCTTGAATGTGGGGTTTGTCTGGACTTTAAGTCCACCAATGTTGGCGGACTTAACGTTGTCCACAAGCCTCTTTTTTTCAGAGGGGTTGGCGAAGTGGAGGACAAGTTTTTTTTATCCCTCCCTGTCACCGCGGCTACATCACAATTTTTTAAACTGGGAGTTTGGGCGATTTTTGCCCTAATCTCACTAACAGTGAGGTCCTTGGAAGCGAGCTTCACGTGGTTGGTGCTGTTACGCAGCATATGCTCGTAACTGGGTTTAGTTGGTTTAGCAGGCTTAGCACCTGCATTGGTTGGCTGGGTGACTTTATTCGTCACAGGGGCTGGTTTGGGAGGAGGTGTTGGAGCTACTTTTTTAATAGAGGCTGCGTGCGCAGCCCTGATTTCTTCTACTCTGAGGTCACAGCCCTTCAGCTTGCGCTGAAGAATACCTACAACGGTATTTTGCAGCTGGCGAGCAGCATATCAATTGTTCCGTACAATTTTTTATTGGCTGCAGAGTCCTGTTCCCCGCTAAGCCCTACTCCAATTTCATGCTGCAAGATTTCCCTGTAGCTTGAAAAGGATGTTTCTATCTCTTCCCACCCCTCCCTAAAAGCTGTGTTAGAGTTTGAAGGTTTGATAGGAGGAGGAAGAGAAGGAGTGACCCAGGGACACTCACCATTTTGGAGAGTTGGGGCAGAAGAAGAAGCGGAGGTATCCGCCGCGTTCATAGTTGAGAATATCCAAGATTAATCCAAGAGTGTAGGGGTGCACTGTTAGGTGGCCCGGGACTTGAATGATGATTCACGCTCGTTGGCGTGTCTATTATTATTATGCCTTCTACATGCTTTCGGAGACACGCTCGTTGGTGTGGAAGAGTTAAATGGCCGAGTGCGGCCGCTCTGGAGATCCCGCATTTTGATTGGCTGCGGGCGGAAAAAATCCGGGGAGGATAAATGGCGTTTGGCGGCCGTCCAAGAGATCCGGGGAATTAAATAATTTTTATCCTCGTCTGGTTTCTTGGTGAATTGGGGCTGGGCGTCCAAGGATGTATCCTTGCAGGACCGCTGGCGCTGGGGAACAGGAGCACAGGAGACCAGGGGCACTATAGAGAAATTCCTATTTAGCTTCGGCATAGGTGGGCAGGGAGAGGATGTTTGCAATTTTTGTTCAAGGAGATGAGTGAGGAGGTTTGTGGAGTTGTTGGCCTCGAGGAGGCGTTGTTGGTGTATTTTCGAGATGTGTGCAAAAGTTTTTTTTAGAGCAAAGCGGAAACCATCAGCAAGGGTGGGGTCAACAGAGTCAGCATAAGGGGCAAGGATGTGATAGGCCCAGTTTAGATGTAGGAGGTGTGAGGGGTTGTTGGTTGGGAACATGTCACATGTGGGTGGAGGTGAGTCAAGGGTGTAGTGTTGTTGAGGTGGTTGGCGTAGGTGGAGTGGTGTGTGTACATGTGTGGATGAGGTAGGGTGAAGAGGGGTGGAGGAGCTCACCCCTGGTCGACTGCCAAGGTCCAGATTCCCGCCGATGGTAGGGTCGAGCAGGGAGTAATCCAAGAGAGTAGGTGTGCACTGTTCGGTGGCCAGGAACGTGAATGATGATTCACACTCGTTGGCGTGGAAGTGTTAAATGGCCGAGTGTGTCGAGGCTGCGGTTTGGAGTTTGGTTTTTGTGAGCTCCAGAGGGAGGAGACAGCGTTGACATCTCCTGCGAAGAGAAGGCGGGGAGGGTGTGGGGAGCCAAAGAGGGAGATAAAGGAGTCGACGATGGGGGAGTAAGAAGTGTGGTGGGGGAAGTATACGGAGCAGAGAGTAAGGTGAAAGCCGGGGATGTCAAGGATTGCGAGGGTGCGGTTGGTGGTGGAGAGTTGTGGGAGGAAAATGACGGGAAGGCTTTGATTAAGAACAATTATACAGGAGTTACACCGGTTGTTAGAGATGGGAGCATGGAGGAGGGGGTGGGAAATGGGGAGGGAAGGGCATTGTCACGGACCGGAAGTTCTTGAAGGAGAAGGATATCTATATGGGAGAACTGGGCAAATTGTAGTAAGGAGAGGTAGCAAGGGAGGGATCGGTTGCAGTTAAGCTGTAAGAACTTAAGCATTTAGGGCAGGTTGTGGGTGCTAAGGAATGTGGTTTCAGCGGCTTTGATGACCGGGCAGGAGAGAGAGTCCGCCCGGTGTTGGCCGGGGAGGGTGGTGGCGGTGCAGTTGTTAGTGATGTGGCCTTCGCCGCAATGGAGGCATCTGGGGGGCTTACTGCAAATATCATTGCGGTGACGGATGTCACCGGTTACGGCAAGGGTGGGTTGATCTGGTTCTGTCGAACCTGATTGAGTTATATCCCAAAAAGAGACGGGTTCAAGATTGCAGTTGGGTGGCAGTGTCAGAGTCGGTTTCGATGACCGCGTGTGTGGAGTTGTTGCGGCCGGTAAAAGTTCTAATGAGTTTACAGTCAGTGCCTATTGATTGGGTGAGAAGGGAGGGCAGGTCGCTGAGTGGGATAGTGTTGGGGAGGTTGAAGAGGGAAAAGCGGGGTTTAAAGGTGGGGGGGAGGTTGACGCTGATGTTTGTGCCGTTGGTGGCATTTTTGAGCTTGGCGTAGATAGAGTCCATGCTATTTTTGGAGTTAATGTGTATGATGATCTTGTTACTGGCACGGAAGATGTTAGTAATTTGGGTGGAGGGAGTATTGAGGGAGGAGAAGAAAATTTTTGAGTTGAGGTTGTTGTCAATGGGCGTGCAAGCAGAGGGGTCCTGGGTGATGAGGATCTGGAAGGGGTTGTTGCGGTTGGAATGGGGAGGGGGGCGGCGGGAAGGGCGGAGTGCCCCCGGAGCTGAAGAGGTGGGGGTAGCCCCCAGGGGGGGGGCCTTGGGAAGAGGGCGCAGGCCGGAGCGGACCAAAAAATGTTAGGTAGCGGAACGAGAATACTAGAAAGGTCCGCCACCTTCTGATAACAATTTAAAGTGTCCTGTCCAAGTGCTGGAAAAATGGGAGATAAACTCCGTAGAACTATTTATTTCAAAGAAGGAAGGTTAACAATTAAAAGAGTTAAAGCTAAAGGAACCAAAACAAGGACAGCGGCAATCCCAGCTGCTTTCTCGAAGCGCGCAAAGCTCCGTCTTCCTGTGGACTCTCCTTCTTTAGAACTCTTTATCTTTAGGCTTCTAGAACCTCTATATCTTTAGGCTTCTTGAACCTCTATCTTTAGGCTTCTAGAACCTCTTTATCTTTAGGCTTCTAGAACCTCTATATCTTTAGCAAGGCAGTCTCGACTTCCTTATTTGCTTCTACTATCGCAGTGGAGGGGGCACCCTCTTTCTTAATCAGTTTCACCATCCTGATGTTTTCGCCACTTTTCAGCGACAAGTTTTTTTATCCCTCCCTGTCACCGCGGCTACATCACAATTTTTTAAACTGGTAGTTTGGGCGATTTTTGCCCTAATCTCACTAATAGTGAGGTCCGCGGAAGCGAGCTTCACGTGGTTGGTGCTGTTACGCAGCATATGCGCGTAACTGGGCTTAGTTGGTTTAGCAGGCTTAGCACCTGCATTGGTTGGCTGGGTGACTGGGCTGACTCACCAGGTCGAAGGATACATCCTTTGGGGCTGAGGGGAGAGTGTAGGGAAAAAACCAAGAGATAGACAGCGGTTAAAGAGAAATAGGAAGAAGGAGGGAAAGGAAGAAAGAAGCCACTTAGCAAACTGTCCAGGTAACTGGTCAGGGCCAAATGCCTTCCTGGGATTAAGGTTGTTAATTGCCCTAGAGTACTCAAAAGGAGTAATAGGTGGGTCATGAGGAGAAGAATGAGAGGAGGAGCTAGTGTTTAGAGCAAAGTGAAAGGGCCTAGTGTCAGGAGGGGGGGTCAGTGAAGAAAGAGTCTAACATATCCTGAAGACAGGCAGGGATGTTATGGTGAATTAATATATTCTCAAACCGTCGGGAGCAAAGAGGGTCAGGTTTAGCCGAGCCATGGGAGATATAGCGATAGATTGGACCCCAAGGATTAAGCTCAAAAGTATTGCAATTTCCTAAAATAAATAGTCTTAGCCCTGTCAATAGCCTTGTTGAAGCGGTTACGCACCTCCACATAACGTTTGTCGCATACCTCGAGATATTTGCATAGTATTGTTTTGTTTTGTATATTTTTACATTTTGTTTCTTTTGAAAGGATGATAGATTTGCATGTCCACGAGAAGCGCGTTGTATATATATAGGTAGGAAAAGTAATAAAGTTAGAGTTTCTTTTGCTTAGGAGCTTCTCTTGTTCTGTGGAACTCGTTCTTTTAAGTAGAACACCACAACATGGCGCAGCCGGCAGGATCATCAAATTCGACCATTGAAAGCCTCATCAGGATGATGGCGAAGCAGCAACGCTTAATGATGGACTTGCTTTTTGAAAATAAAAATGAAATGGTAGATGAAGAGGAATATTTCAAAGATGAAGAAGAAGATGATGAAGAAGAAGAAGAAGAGAAGGAAGAAGAAGAAGATGAAGAAGAAGAAGGAGAGGAGGAAGAAGAAGAAGAGGAAGAAGAAGAAGATGAAGAAGAAGAACATTGTACTGATTCAAAAGTTGAAAAAATTCAGTTGTAGAAACGGAAGAAAGTGAAATAGCCGAAGTTGAGAAAAAATCCGTTGAAGCAGATGAAAGCAGAAGCATAATGAGATTTGATGAGCTCTTCTGGGGTAGAAAGTTAGTCCCTGTTGGAAAAGGCACATGGCCAAAATGTTTTTTGAGGGATGTTACTGATAATGGCGGATCTTCTGTTTATAGAATTGAACAGATTTCTGAATATAGGACTCCAAATATTGATCATAGAAAAAATTGGTCTTATATTAAAAAGGAAATAAATATTTTTGATGCTTTAAGAACCTTACAAGGTAGTACTCAAGCTAATCTTTGTTATCCTAAAGATTTTTGGATTGTTCGTGATTTGGGATCTAAATGTTTTTCAAATATTACTGAAGATAGTGAAAAGAATAATAATTTAGATTTGAATGATATGAATTTATCTCATTTTGTCGTTTTTCATTCTGAATATGGAGGGAAATCTCTAAAGAAAGTATTGGAAAATGGAAAACTTTCGCCAGAACAATTTATGAGCATTCTTTGTCAGATTTGTATTTTGATGAGTCATGCTGAGCAAAACATCGGGTTGGTTCACAATGATATAAGTCCCAGAAATATTCTGATACGACCGACTGCTCAAAAGGTTTTGAACTACGACATTGGAGGAGAGAATTATGAAATTCCAACCAACAACTGCATTGCCAAGTTGAAAGATTTTGAGATATCTCGACTTGTAAAGAATGATAATCCTAATCCGAGTGTTTTTTACGAGAATGTTTCTCAGCTAATTTGGACCCATAATGAAATGCGAGAATTTGGCTCTGCTTATGAAATACATACTGAATTCATTGAAGAGACATCAACGCAGATTGCCGTTGAAGAAAGTCAAAAATCTCATTCAGAAACTGAAGCCTTAGATAAGTTGGGAGTCCCATATTTCTGGCTAGTTGTCTTGAAGAAAGCTCCTCAGGCCAGCAAGTACATCCAACCCTATGACGAGCCTGTTCTGGCATATCTTAAAGACATTCGTGTCGAGAGCTATGAAGGTTCAATGGGATTTTCAATCCATTTTGACTTCAATTCCAACCCGAATCTAGAGAACGAGACATTGACCAAATCGTACAAGATGAGATGCCTTGTCAAAGGTGGTGTGAGGGTAGGGCCAGAAATCACTGATGTAACCTCGACCCCCATCAACTGGAAGCAGGATATAACCATCACCAAGTGGCCGGAGGACAATTTCATCATAGACCACCCGGAGTCCCATCACAGGAGTGATGAGAGGTCATGGAGGGGGGGAGTCTGTCGCATACCTCGAGGTATTTGCATAGTATTGTTTTGTTTTGTATATTTTTACATTTTGTTTCTTTTGAAAGGATGATAGATTTGCATGTCCGTGAGAAGCGCGATGTATATATAGGTAGGAAAAGTAATAAAGTTAGAGTTTCTTTTGCTTAGGAGCTTCTCTTGTTCTGTGGAACTCGTTCTTTTAAGTAGAACACCACAACGTTCTCTCAAGCGGTCACGAAGTGGAGGAAAGAAGTTCTTGTATTCCCTTCCCAGTCTCCTGGAGAGGGTTTTAAGGGACTGTAGTTTAGGAGACCACCAGGGATTGGGTGGGGGGAAAGCAGGAAGTGGTCCCTTGGGGGAAAGGTTGGCAGAACAACACATGTGTAAAAGTTCGTAAAAAGTGCCAACAAAGCACTCGATGGAAGCGGCAGAGTCACAATTGTTCAGAGCCACCTGCAGGGCACCTTCAGGAGAAAGGAGAGATTGAAGAGATAAGAAAAGCCTAGAAGGTGGGGCAGATTTAAGATTAAAAGAGGAAAAGTCAGGAAAGAGAGAAGGAGAAGAAAGAGGAGAAGCGTCAAGATCCGGGGTGGAAACAGAGAATGAGATCTCAAAGTGATCTGAGAGATCCCACTCAACCGCATCCCACCCGGACACAGAAGAAAGGAGACTGGAGGTGATGCAGGTGACATCTATGGAAGAGGATGAAGATCCTTGTGCACGGGTAATGGCTCCATGACGGTTACACACCGCCAGGTTTAGGGAGTCCAACATGAAGTTGAGGTGCGTACCTTTGGCACGGTGGCGGTTACTCCAGCGGTTGGACTCTGCATTAAAATCTCCAGCAAAAAGGAGATTTGGTGGAGGAGGAGAGCCAAATAAATTAGTAAAAGATTCAGCTGTCCTCGAAGCATTAGCTCGGCAAGGAATGTAAACCGAACAGATGGTGAAGTGGAAGTTCGGTATGTCAACAACCGCCAGAACACGGTTCACAGTAGAAAGTTTAGGAAGAAGTAGAACCGGTAGTACTTGGTTCAGCACCACAATAGCAGCACTGCATTTGTTGTTTGAAATGGGGGCATGCAAGATAGAGGAAGGTGGAATAGGGTGGGCAGACGGAAGTCGGTTGTTTGAAACAGGAAGTTCTTGCAGCAGTAGGATATCTACGGCTTTAGAAGAAGCTTCCTGGAGAATGGAATGGAAACATGCAAATGAACGATTGCAATTTAATTGCAAAAAAGAGATTAGCATGTGTGTTGAACCAAGTTATGGAAACTCTCCTCCACCATTCTTATGACCGGACAGGCAAATGAGTCTGCCCTGTGACCGTTCTGATCCGGCTTGCAGCGGAAACAACTGGGGCTAGTACCAGTTGTGGGACAGTCCGCAATCTTGTGGGCAAGCCCACAATGAAGGCAACGCACCGGGCCAGAACAAGAATTGGTCCGGTGCCTGAGACTACCACAGGACCTGCAGGGGAAGGTAGCCCGAGTCCTGTCAATGGACAGAGAAGAGAATCCAAAATAGATTCTCTTTTTGCCCTCCAGAGCAGTGGCAATGATGTTGTTGGTCTCAAACACCGCATGGACCCGACCGTTCCGCGCTGAGATAGTTCGGATGAGTCGGCAGTCAGTATCCTGACATTCGACCGACCGGACAAACATGGTGGTAAGATCCTCCTCATTGGTAATGTCAGGTACATTAAAGATGGTGAAGCGATGGTGGAAAGAGGGAGGTGTAGATATTTTGATATTTGTATTTTTGGTAAGGTCCACCAGTTTACGGTGCAGTTTAGTAAAATCCTCTTTTGACCTAGTGTGTATGGTAATTTTATCTCTGGAAGTATTTATATGGGACCCAGGAGCCCCCAAAGCGGAGAAAGAAGACATATTAGAAAGCCTAAGGCTAAGAGGCTGAGCCTCCTTGGGGTCCTGTGTGATAGTAAAGTGAAACGGGTTATTGGTCAAAGTAAACCTAGGAGTGGTCTTTGGTTGGGTGGGGACAGGTCCCCGACTAGCCGAGGGGGCTGAGCTAGCAGGTTGCACAGAAGGACGGCTTGAGGCCATGGCAGAGTACGAAAGGGGAGCGGCAGTAGCGGAAGTGTCAACAGGGGTGGCAAGTGTACTTATGGCAGAGATACCAGGCTCAGCAAGAGTGGCTGAGGTGGCATCAACAACAACATGTGGGTGGGCAAAATGCTGCTGTTTTGATTGGGAAGCCATCTGTAATAAGAGTCCAGAGGAAAAATCCAATTCAGAGATACGACGTTCATAGTCGGCCCTAAGATGTAAAAGAATGCCCTTAAGTTCAGAAAGAACTGAGGAACCAAGTTCAGCAGAAAATTCAGAAATGGAATTAGAGATAGTCTTAATTGAGATGGCTGCCCAATCAAAAATATCAAAACAATTGTTAGAAGTAGTACATTTAGAAAAGGCCACAAAATTAGGTGGCGGCTCCAAGGAAATGGTAGGCAAAGGAAAGTCCTCAATGTCAACAATAGTATTAGGTTGGTAAGAATGGGAGGAAGAAAAAGATTCAGATTCAGAAGGAGAGGGAGAAAGAGAGCGAGAATGAGATGAACTCACAGGTTTTAGGTTATCCGGGTCCAGAGTAAGGCACAGAGTGGCGTCGCGCATATGATCTGGGGAGTAAGTCAGCTGAGGGTCTTGGCCGGCGGGAAGGGTCTCGGTAGGGCTAGCGGCGCGGTCAGCGGCGGCGCACTGCGCCCGGGGTGTCTTAGGCTGCGGAGCTTCCGCTCGGTGGACATCGCTGTGGAGGTAGGGAAGGCGGGCGGGCGGGCGGGAGCTTGGTAAAAGAGCTGTCTTCACGGCAAAAACTTGAAAAAAGTAAAAATAGCCGCAGAAATTCGGCCGTTCAGGAGAGCTCAAATTTTCTGATTTGCGGACACTCGAAAAAATAGCGGAATTTGCGGCCGCTGCGGAGAGCACGAATTTTCCAATTGGCTGCGGGAGATGGCGGCCGTTACAGAGATGACCGACGACGGGAGCGATGTGTACTCGGCGCGCCCGGCAGAAGGGACGCTCGGATGGATATGGTTATAGCTAATTGACCAAATGGGATGGCCTTCTAGCTCTACTACTTAGAAGAGGACAGGATAGAAAAATAGGGATAAAGAGAAGAGCACACAGCGCCTGGGGATGTTGGTGTAGAACAAAAAAAAAGGACCTTATCAAAGGAGCCAGAAATTTTTTTTTTCTTTTGAGGAGAAAGTAATTTCAGAGCACAAAATCTGGAAGTACTGAATCGCATCTTTTGCCAACCAATGAAAATGAGCGGCCGCCAGACCACAAAACCCCCGGTTGTGATGTCGCGCGATTAATCGACCAATCCCGTCCACAAGCCAGCTGGCAAATTAAAAGTTTGACATCGCATACATAATTAGTGATACACGCATATGCAGGTAAAACACTGATGTAAAGTTTAGGTGGAATTAGAGTCGGGAACCTCCTCTGATTCCAACTCTCGGATCCGCGGTCTCAGCCTGTCGCAAGCCAGGAGAAAATCGATACAGGCTCGCCAGGTTAAACAACTGTGGGTGAAGTCGCAGGAGCGCCCTCGGCGTGTAACCGAGTTCCCTCCCCGCTATAAAAAATAGACAAGTTCTGAGGGAGTCCAGACTGTCACACTCGAGCATGATATGTTCCAGAGTTTCTTCCTCTCCAGAGTCACAGAAAGGGCAGATAGGATCATCAATAAATCCAAGTCTGTGAGCAAAGCTGTCTGTCCATGTGTGTCCAGACAGCAGGCCAATCACGGTGTGGACACTGGGGACGATGTACGCATGTTTTTTGTCCAAGAGACTCATTGGAGAAAGGCCAAAGCGGGTGAAGATTCTGCGCTCGGCGGAGATGAATCTGTCCGTGCCAAGCTGCCCACGCCCGCTTGTAGATTATCGATTTAAGTTTCGACAGCGGTGCGAGGCGATAGCAGCTCGGGAGATCAGAATCCGCCCCGCGTTTCGCGAGCACATCAGCTACCTCATTACCAAAAATCCCGCTGTGGCCCTTGATCCATTGTATGGTACATCTGTTCCCATTGCGGTTCAGTTGTGAAATCAGCAACAAGGCTCTGTTTACCAGGAGGTTGCCAGTTCTGGTGTTTAGAACGGATTTCACAACTGAGAGGTTATCCAGGAGAATTTCAATGGTGTAATTGTCGGGAAGCTTTGAGGCGTCCTCAAGTGCTTTAATCAAGCCAAGTGCCTCCGCTTGGAAGACAGAACAGTACGGGGACAGGACAAAACTCTCACGCAATTCATTCATTGAGCCATTCGCACACACTCTATATAGGCCTGTGCCAACTCCAGTTCTAGTCTTGGAACCATCTGTGTAGTAGGTGACGTCAGCCGAAAGATCAGGAATATTAATGGGAGCGGAGTAATAGGGAGGATAGGGAAGTGGGTGAGGGCAGGGAGGAGGTTCGACTGGAAAATCGGCGTCAACAAAACTGTGCTTTTTAAAGTACAATTCCGCTTTGGCGCCGACATCCAGATCGAGAGGGAGAACACGGGAAAGAGAGATGAGAGAGTAAGAGTCAGTTGTTTTAAACGCGCGGCATGTCCTGATGAGGAACGGGCGCTGCGCGCTTAAGAGAGTATTTAAAGAGCGTTGTTTTAGATTAGGAAACCACACAGGAGAAGCGTAAGAGATGGCTGGGACCACAACCTGTAGATAGAGCATCCTCAGGGCACGGAAACCAAAGCCAAAATTGGAGTTGGCGGCTGCTGTCAAACGCGGGAGAAATCCGCGGACTCTGGTGCAAACCTCAACCACGTGCTGGTGGAAGGCGAGACGCCGATCAAATCTTACTCCCAGCACTTTGATTGAGTCGCTCCATTGAATGGGTTGACCATTAATGGTTAGATCGCAGCTAGGTTTTAGTAGCCTGCCAGTACGTCTTAGAAGGAGCATGGCCTGACACTTCCTCACGCTGAGTTCCAATTTATGCAGGCCACACCACCTCGTGATCTCATTAATGGCAAGTTGCGCCGCTCCAAGTTGCTGAGTAACTTGGCCAGACACTACCATAACAAGATCGTCGGCGTAGGCCTGCGGGTGTACACATTTTTTAAAGTTGAGCGTGAGGAGCTCGTCAAAGACAAGGTTCCAAAGAAACGGCCCAAGAACTGAGCCCTGCGGGCAGCCTTTGGAAACCTGCCTCGTGACCGTGCAACCATTCATAGACAGTCTGACAACACGGTTATAAAGGAAGGAGCGAATCAGAACAAACAGGTTTTTAGGACAATCATTCATACACAGAGCTCGCAATATGCTGGAGTGTAGCACATTGTCGAAAGCGCCTTTCACATCAAAGGAAAGAAGAATAGTAGATTTTCTATGTTGAAGCGAACGGGAGAGATTATTTTTTAAATTTAGAAGTGCGGCGACAGTAGATCTGCAGGGCCTGAAACCGAACTGGTTTGGCTGGGCTTTACACATCCTCTCTGCTCGCCACGAGAGCCTGGCCAGGATAAGACGCTCTAGAATTTTACCTAAGCCAGGCAGCATCGTGATGGGCCGATGAGACGCGAGAAAGTCCTCACCACCTTTTTTGGGAATGAGTATGACATCACCCAGTTTCCAAGGGGTTGGAAAGTGTCCAGTTTCAAAGCACTTATTAAAGATCTTTAAAAAGAACGTCGGGAATTTTTTAATTAATTTAACAATGACTAAAGGTGGCATACCATCACTGCCAGGAGCAGAAGTAAGGCTAACCTTATCCGCAGCCAGTAGCAATTCTGTTTCTGAGAACGGTGGGTCGTTTTCAGAGGTGGACTGCACGGCTTTATGTAAGTTAACATGCTCTACTGTTATATCGGGCGGGACGCGGCCGAAGTAATGTTTTAATACGTGTTCTAGAGTGTCCCGCGGACTGTCAGTGAGATCTTCGCCAACCAGGAGAGAGGATAGAGGCTTCCTCTTGGTGGAGCCTTTAATAAATTTATAAACGCCGCCCCAGGGGTTAACCTCGCAAAGCGAACAGATCCTTCTCCATTCAGCAGACTTCGCGTGTCTGATAGAGGTGCGGAATCTATTATATAATTTCTTATAAAATATTTTCAGCACGCTTCTAACAGGCCCACGAGCTTTTCTCCAGGCTCGTTCAGCTTTTTGAGTAACCTTTTGGAGCGGATTTAGTTCAGGTTTCCACCAAGTGGGTTTCTTAAAAAAAAAATTATTGGTGGCAGGTTTAGAGGGAATGGTTTGTAGACACGAATGAAACACCTCGTCTTTTAGTAAATTAATTACTTCATCGACTTGAGTTGTGTCACTCGCGTCCATTAAGGATGAAATTTAAAAAATTTTTTTTTTAAAGCTGGAAAAAAAAAAATCCCAGTCGGCGCGACCAAAGCTGAAGTTTACTTCGCTAAAGTTGTTTACATGTATATCACTATTGTTGTTAGAAGAGAGGGGTTCTAAATTAACGTTAAACACGAGGCGTTTATGGTCAGATAAAGCCTGGTTGATAGCGTCCCAATCTGTGACCTTGTCCGCGAGGCCGGCAGAACAACACGTGACGTCGATGGAGGAAGATTGATCTCCCTCCTCCCACGTGACCGTGCCATGTTTGTTGACGACGTGGAATAAATTCGTGTCAATGAAGTTTTCGATGTTATCTCTCTTGGAGCAATTGTATTTAAGCAACCGCGCTTTATTTGACCATCTATATGATTCAATATTAAGGTCGCCGCAAAAAATCACCTCGTGGAAATTAATTGTTTTTAAAGAGTTGTCTATCCTATCAAGAAGAGCTTCAGAACAACATGATGGTGAAAGATAGACAGTACACAGAAGGATTGTCAAGTCATTCACTTCGCACAGGACAAATACAGCATTCACACAAGACAAGTGAGATAAATGTAAAAATTTTAAATTCGGATTTGCTATTATTACAGCCGCTCCCAATTTATTTTCAGTTATAGGACCGTGGCAAACCCTGTCAAGGGGCACTGGCAATGATGGTAAGTTGTTTTTAGAAACTGGGAGTTCTTGCAATAATAGCACATCCGATTTTTCCTCGCGACATTCATTCAACAATGAGTACAAACAATATGGAGAGCGTCTTACATTGGCTTGTACACACTTAATAACGTTCATTTTACCCATAATTTATTGAAATTGTCCTGTGCCTCCCGCATGTGTTTACACGCCATGGAGTTGGCACTGTGTTTGTCACCACACCTGTGACATTTCAAAGCTGCTTTATTTTCACATGCTTCGGAAAGATGCGCACCAGCGCAGTGGCTACATTTAGCCGCCCTAGTGCACTTCTTTCCGTCGGTGTAGGTTTTGTGACTTAAGCTGCCACAGACACCACAAGGGAAGACGCGCTTTGCTCTGGCGAGTCTCAGCGAATGGAAGTCGATCGTGATCCTACCACGCCCGAGTAGGACAGTCTCAACCTACCTGTTAACCTCAATTATCGCGGTGGAGTTGGCACCCTCTTTTTTAATTAATTTAACCATCTTTACGTTTTCGCCGCTTTTCAGCAGCGGTACAACTGCGGGATGGCTATTGATATCAGCCACAAGCTGCTCTTCAGTTTTCTCTCCTGGAATACCAAAGATGGCAAGCCTGGGCTTGAATGTGGGGTTTGTTTGGACTTTAAGTCCACCAATGTTGGCGGACTTAACGTTGTCCACAAACCTCTGTTTCTCAGAGGGGTTGGCGAAGTGGAGGACAAGTTTTTTGTCCCCCCCTGTCACCGCGGCTACGTCACAGTTCTTTAGACTGGGCGTCTGGGCGATTTTTGCCCTGATCTCGCTAACGGAGTGTTCAGCGGAAGCGAGCTTTACGTGATTAATGCTGTTACGCAGCATATGCGCGTAACTGGGTTTGGATGGTTTGGCAGGCTTAGCACCTGCATTGGCTGGCGGGGTGACTTTAGTCATCGTTGTGGTTGGTTTGGGAGGAGGTGTGGGAGCGACGGTAGTTGTTTTTTTCTTCAAGGCTGTTAATTCAGCCCTAATTTCTGCGACTTTAAGGTCGCAGCACTCCAGCTTATGCTGGAGGATCCCCACAGCAGTGTTTTGCAGATCGGCGAGCAGACCATTCATTGCTTGAAAGAAAAACCTATTAGATGGGGAGCTTAGCTCCCCGCTAATCCTTGCCCCAACTTCATGTATAAAGATTTCTTGGAAGCCCTTAAAAGAAGTGTTAATTTCTTCCCACCCTTCCCTAAACGCTGTGTTAGAGTTAATGGGAATAATGGGAGCAGGAGGAGAAGGAGTGACCCGGGGAAACTCACCCAGAGTAGGGGCAGAAGAAGCGGAGGTATCCGCCGCCATAGTGTTATCCAAAGAGTAATCCGCACAAGAGTAATCCACGAGCAATCCAAGAGAAAGAGTGATCCAGTGATGTGTGCACAGGTTGGTGTCAGGGACGCGAATGATTAGAGGAAGGGACGCTCGTTGGCGTGGTGTTAAATTTCACTCCCTCCGCTGTAAGCTTTCGGACAAGCTTTTTCGGAGAACATACACCTGACATCAACAAGGTAAGCGGCCCGCCGCATCTGGAAGGCTGAAAACTGGCAGGCACGGAAGGCTGTGAGGGCACCGACAGAGGGAAGTGGAAGCCGGGGAGAGTTGGCTAAGGGTCGTGGCTGAGGGGACAAGGCTGCGCCAAGTACACCAAGTACAGGCGGCAAGTAAATCTGCTGAAAACTTTATTGATTAGTCACAATCAAGTACAGGAGGGGAAGTAAATAGGATCATGGGTACAAGTGGCTATTTACAAGCAGTAGGGGTGGGAAACAATGGGAGGTAGGTGGAAAGGATGGCAAGTGGGCAAGATGATGAAGGGGTTACAGGGTTGGGTTGGCACATGGGGTTCCAGGGGGGATATTTACAGGGAGACAGAAAGGGGGATTAGGCAAAAGTTATAAAGAGTCATCAGAGGATGGACAATTCTCAGGCACGAATCTACCACAGTTGTTGCCAAAATCGCAGGCAGAGCGCCAGAGAGAGCTGGAAGTGGCAAAATCAGAGAGGGTGGTTGGAATCCTACCGGCAATGGACAAGCAGGAATTAAACAAGGTAGCCCTGAGGTCGTCAAGGTGGGGACAGTTGAAAAAGATATGCTCTACTGTTTCCGGAGCGAGATGGCAGTCGGGGCACGTGATTTCACGCAAGAGGTCCCTTCTACTATACCTGTAAGATCCAATGAAGGAGTGGCCGGTAAGAAAACCTGTGATGACCTGTGATGAGGGGTGTATAAACCTATGTTCGTTAAGGAGTGAAAGAGGGGAGATATTGAAAACCTGGAAAATGGTGGGGTTTTTGTCACGGAATTCAACATCCCAGCGATCCCAGAAGCTGCGCGAGGTGAACCTGTGCAGGTGGTTTTGGGTAGCCAAGGTATATAGTGGGGGGCGATGATGAATTTGCGGCGGCGGAGCGTGCCAGCTGATCGGCTAGGCAATTACCGAAGATCCCAGCATGGCCTTTGACCCAGTGTAGGGTGATAGATCTATGGGGGAGGAGGGAAAAGAGCAACCTCTGTATCTTGAACACCAGAGGAAACCTTGTATCGAGGTTGGAGATGGCGTGTAGAAGGGAAAGGCAGTCCGAGAAGATCCCAACCGAGAGGTTAGGAGGAAGGGTGGAGACGTCCCGTAGCGCCGTGAGGAGGGCAAAGCTTTCGGCTTGAAAAACGCCGCAGTGAGTGGCGAGATGTAGGGAGAGGGACAAGGGTGGAATCCCAAGGGAGGAAGAGGAAATTCTGGCGACGCCTGAACCAACCCCCTCTTTGGTTTTGGAGCCGTCGGTGAAGTAACAGACGTCAGGTGCGCTAGGAGGGATGGGACGGTGGGAGAGATCGGGAAGAAGAGGTGGAGACGGGTAGAGGAAGGGAGGAGGTCTCTTTCGACCTGGAAGGGCAAAGGCTCGGGTGGGCGTGATAGCGAAGAGAGAAGCAGGATTTTTAGGTCGAGGGGAAGGATCCTAAGGAGAGCTATGGCTGCCAAGAGGGGAACGGTCCGGAATCCACGGATAGCGTGGAGGCAAAACTTCCGTTGTGTTGAACGGAGTTGACTCCGGCCCGCACTGGTCTTGACCGCATCAGCCCAGATCGGAGCGCCGTACGTAATGGCGGGTTCAATGGCCCCAATGTATAGTCGTCGGCGGGCGTGAAACCCGAGGCCTGAGCGGGCGTTGGAGCAACCCTTGAGGCGACCTAGAATGGACAGGGCACGGTCGCATACCCATTGGAGGTGGGAGTCGAAGGTGAACCTATCATTGAAGACCACCCCGAGGGCCCTTAGCCTATCCGTCCATGGGATAACAGTATCCTGTAAAGTCAAGGAGGGAGGGTTGGTAAAGATAGGGAGGACCTCACTTTTGTGAGGAGTGAGGGTCAGTTTATTGTCCAGACACCAGTCGGAAACGAGATCGATGGAGAGCTGGGCGCGGGAGGTCAGAATGCCTGGGGGACCTGACACTACGATCTGAAGGTCGTCCGCGAATGCCTGTATATGAACGCCGGGTGGGTAGGGAAGGGATAGTACAGGGTTAAAGGCAATGTTCCAGACGTGGGGGCCACTCCTAGATCCTTGGGGGCACCCTCTGGAGGGAAGCTTAGAAGAAGAGCATTTTTTGTAAGAAAGGGTGACTGTACGGTCACTGAGGAAGGAGTGGTAAAGGGCCTGGAGGGTGGGTGGACAGGCGGCGGCGGTGAGCTGAGTAAGGAAGGACGGGTGCCATAGGTGGTCAAAGGCCGACTTGATGTCGAGACTGATGAGGAGGGCGCATTGGTGGGAACGTATGGACTCCGAAATTTTGGTCTTTAGTAGGGCGAGGGCGTCCAAAGCACTTCTCCCTTTCCTGAAACCAAACTGATTGGGGTGGAGGAGACCGTTGGATTCAAAGTGGTGCGAAAGTCGAAGGGAGAGCATGCTCTCGAGGGTTTTACCCAGGATAGGGAGGAGAACTATCGGGCGGTTTTGGGAGGTGAAATCCTCACCACTCGATTTCTTGGGGACTAGTACAACTCGTCCTACTTTCCAGAGCTTGGGGAAGTGGCGAAGAGAAAAGCATTTGTTAAAGAGGTTGAAGAAAAAGGTGGAGAAGGAGGAAAGTAGCCATTTGGCGAATTGACCGGGCATCAAGTCAGAACCATGGGACTTTTTAGGGTTGAGGGCCCGTAGAGCAAGGTGGAATTCTAGGGTAGAAAAAGGAATTTCAGGTGGGGGAGGGGTAGAGGGAATAGGGGGGGAGGGAAGGAGGTGGGATGGGCCGGAATTTGGAGGAGGCTCTGAAAAGTAGACGTCCAAGATGTCCTTAAGGTTAGCATTGACGTTCTGTTGGGTAGTGAGGGTTTCAAACCTCCTTGAACAGAACGGGTTACGCACGGAGAACCCTCGAGCGACATAGCGGTGTATAGGACCCCAAGGATTATGGGTGAATGAAGAGGTAAATTCCCTAAAGTGCCTTTTCTTGGCATTGAGGATAGACCTATTATATTTGTTTCAGAGTCTTGCGTAACCCTCGCGGTAGCTTTCGCGGAGAGGAGGAGCGACGGTTTTCAATTTCCTGCCAAGACTCCTTGAAAGCGTCTTCAATCTCTGAAGTTCGGAGTTCCACCAGGGGACGGGGGGAGGGAAGGAGGGGAGAGGAGTTTTGGGGCTGAGGTTCTGGGAACAAGAAAGATGTAGAAGAGAGTAGAGAAGATCGATGAGTTGGTCCAGCGAGGCCGCCGAGTCACAACTATCGAGGGCTGTAGAAAGAGAGCTATCGGGGGAAAAGATAGAATTGAGGGCTAGAAAGAGTCTGCGAGGGGGTGGGGATTTAAGGTTGAAGGAGGAAAAGTCAGGGAATAGCCTAGGATGAGGGGAAGGGGGGGGACCGAGGTCTGGAACATCTAGGCTAAAGAAGATCTGAAAATGGTCAGAAAGGGCACACTCCTCTGCCTTCCATCCCGAGACGGCACTGGAGAGGTGGTTGGAGACGCAAGAGATGTCTATAGAAGACTCCCGCGATCCGAGGCGGCGGGTGATGGTTCCCATCCGGTTGCACACGTAGAGTTGCAAAGTGTCTAGGAGATCATTCACATGATCCCCTTTCCGGTTGGGACGCCGGAGGCTCCATCGGGCTGATTCAGCGTTAGCGACGCCCGCAAGGATAAGGTTGGGAGGAGGGGGGGAACCGAGGAGGGAGGAAAGAGATTCAGTAGCACTGAGGAAGTTTGAGTTGCAGGGGAGGTAAAGAGAGCAGATAGTAAGATGAAAGTTCGGGAGGTCGACCACCGCAATAGTGCGGTTGACAGTAGAAATTTTGGGAAGGAAGAGAATAGGGAGGTCAAGATTAAGAACGATAATGCAGGAACTACATTTGTTGTTTAGAATAGGGGCGTGGAGATAGGAGGAAGCGGGGACAGGAAAACAGGCAGGGATTCGTCCAGAGCGAACAGGGAGTTCCTGGAGGAGAAGGAGGTCGATCCCGGAAGAAAGAGCAGTATGAATAGAAGAAAAGAAGCACGGTATAGACCTATTGCAGTTTCGCTGCAGGAAGGAGAGCTTCATTGTAGGCTGTTTTTAGAGTGGAAGTCCTCCTCGGCTTTTTTCAGTACTGGGCATTTTAGGGAATCAGCCCGATGTTCCTGTTGGCACCTGAAACATTTGGGTTTCTGTGCGGTGGACGGACACTCACTCACGCTGTGGTTGTTGCCACAGTGGAGGCATTTGGGAGACCATTTGCAAGCGGGAGTTTTGTGACCGATTGTGCCGCATTTACGGCACGGGAAGGTGGCCCTGGTCTTGGCGATTGACAGGATGGCATATCCGAAGAAAGTCTTGGCCCTGTTGTGGAGAAGGGAGGCATTGGTGGGGCCGACCTCAAAAACAGCGTGTTTCGTATTGCGGCCTGTGCCTATTGTTCGGATCAAGCTGCACTTGTTGTCGGAATTTTCGAGGCCCGAGAGGAAGATGTCGGTAAGAGAGCTATCTGGGGTATCGGCTGGAATGTCAAAGACCGTGAACCTTTGGTGGAAAGTTGGCGGGCGGATGAGATCGAGTTCCAAACTAGAAGCTAAGGGAGTAACTATATTGGTTAGGGTTGCTAGGTCTTCCTTATTTTTGGTGTGGAGCGTTATTTTGGAATTGGTCGCACTCACATAGAGAATGGGGACACCTAAGGAACGCAAGGGGAGAATAGAACCAAGGCGGGAACCTATAGGAGTCAGGACCTCTGCTTTTTGGGTTAGGGTGATGTGGAAAGGGTTATTACGGGGGGGAATGGGGCGGATTTTAGTTGGCCTAGGGTTAGTAACAGCAGCCCTGGGTTTAGAGGTGGTGGAGGGCGGGGGTTTGTGGGCAATGGTGACTGGGTCGTTAGAGGGAGTATTGGCAACAACTGTGGTAGTAGGTGTTACAGGGGTATGAGGCAAGGTACACACTTTAGAAGTAGGGGGAGGTGGGTAGAGGGATTTGATTGGGCGGCAAAAAATAGTGAGGAAGAACATTGCAATTCATGAATTCTATGGGTATAGGCATATTTAAGGGTGGCTATGATTTTTTCAAGTTGTTGGTAAACAAAAGAACCAAGATTGCTGTCTGTGTCTCCGATATGGTTACATAGCATTGTACAGTTTTTGGTCGCCCAATCAAATGCCTGGTAAAAGGGTGTTGGTTTGGAGTTAAAAGGGAAGGGCAATGAGGGTGGAGGAGCTGTCAGTGTGAAGTCCCTTGGTGAATAATTAAGGTCCTGGTTAGGGTTTGGTGTGGCTGATGGAGGATGGATAGGGGTGGAAGCACTTACCCCAGGCCGGTTGCTATGGATGAGGTTACCTCCGAATGTTGGGTCCATTGCGGAGTCGAACATTCTGTAGACGACTTCATCAGGAGCTGGGCTGGGGATGGGGGAAGAGGAGTCTTGGGAAGAAGACTGAGAGCCCCCAGGAGAGAAGGAGGCGTCGGAGGGAGGGGGCGGAGGTGTGGTCTCTGGAGGGATCGCTGAGATGGGGGCACGTGACTGGGTAGGCCTTCTGCTGGTTGTCTGGCGGCATGTGGGCCCACCAGCGGGCGGGCGGCTGTTGGGGGGCGTACTGGCAGGTGCGCGGCGATGGGCGGAGGAGCCGCCGCTCGGGGGGGAGGGTAATGGAGCCAGCTTGGGAGAGAGATGATGTTTCCTCGTCTGGAGGGGGAAAGCAATTGGCGGTGTGCGGCCGCTCAGGAGAACCCGCGTTTTGATTTGCTGCGGGCAAAAATAAAATCCGGGAGGGAGGAACGGCGTTTGGCGGCCGTTAAGGAGGTCCGGAATAATAATTTAAATTTTCCTCGTTTGGCGGGGTGTCCAGGAGGGTATTCAGGTGGAACACACACAGTCGCAGGGGCACAGGAGCGCGGGGGCACTGGAGTACAAGAGGTCTCGGGCGCTGTAGAGGTGTGTAAAGGGGTAAAATAATTTTCCCTATTTAGCAACCTTGAATAAACTGACACCACCAAAAAAAAGTGAGTGCCCTTACTTCAGGCAGTATCCCTGTGCCTTACCACGGGTGGGGGGTCACAAGGGACTGGCAAGAAGCGATCCTAATTCAAGGGAAGCTTTTGACTCCAAGAGTATCCAGTAATCCTTACCACTGGTGGGGGGAATAACTAGACTCGCTGAAGTTATCGAGAGAGTGTGGACGCTCGTTGGCGTGGAAGTGTTAAATGGCCGAGTGCGGCCGCTTTGGAGATCCCGCATTTTGATTAACTGCGGGCGGAAAAAAATCCGGGGAGGATAAATGGCGTTTGGCGGCCGTCCAAGAGATCCGGGGAATTAAATAATTTTTATCCTCGTCTGGTTTCTTGGTGAATTGGGGCTGGGCGTCCAAGGATGTATCCTTGTATGACCGCTGGCGCTGGGGAACAGGAGCACAGGAGACCAGGGGCATTATAGAGAAATTCCTATTTAGCTTCGGCATAGGTGGGCAGGGAGAGGATGTTTGCAATTTTTGTTCAAGGAGATGAGTGAGGAGGTTTGTGGAGTTGTTGGCCTCGAGGAGGCGTTGTTGGTGTATTTTTGAGATGTGTGCGAAAGTTTTTTTTAGAGCAAAGCGGAAACCATCAGCAAGGGTGGGGTCAACAGAGTCAGCATAAGGGGCAAGGATGTGATAGGCCCAGTTTAGATGTAGGAGGTGTGAGGGGTTGTTGGTTAGGAACATGTCACATGTGGGTGGAGGTGAGTCAAGGGTGTAGTGTTGTTGAGTTGGTTGGCGTAGGTGGAGTGGTGTGTGTACATGTGTGGATGAGGTAGGGTGAAGAGGGGTGGAGGAGCTCACCCCTGGTCGTCTGCCAAGGTCCAGATTCCCGCCGATGGTAGGGTCGAGCAGGGAGTTGAACATGCTCGGGTGGACAAGCTTCGCCTGTCTGATAGAGGTGCGAAATCTATTATATAATTTCTTATAAAATATCTTTAACACGCTTCTAACAGGCTCACAAGCTTTTCTCCACGCCCTTTCAACTTTTTGAGTTGCCCTTTGGAACGGATTTAGTTCAGGTTTCCACCAAGTGGGTTTCTTAAAAAAAAAATATTGGTGGAAGGTTTAGAGGGATTGGTTTGAAGACAGGAGTGAAACACCTCGTCCTCTAGTAAATTAATTACTTCATCAACTTGAGTTGTGTCACTCGCGTCCAGTAAGGAGGAGATTCTAGACATTTTTTTATTAAAGTGAGATAAAAAAAATCCCAGTCGGCGTGACCAAAGCTGAAGTGTATTTCACTAAAGTTGTTTACGTGTATGTCGTTATTGCTGTTAGAAGAGAGGGGTTCAAAATTAACGTTGAACACGAGGTGTTTATGGTCAAATAAAGCCTGGTTGATTGCATTCCAATCGGCGATCCCGTCCGCGAGGCCAGCAGAACAACACGTGACGTCGATGGAGGAGGACCTCTCGCCCTCCTCCCACGTGATCGTGCCGTGTTTGTTAACAACGTGGAGCAAGTTAGCGTCGAGGAAGTTTTCGACAATTTCTCTTTTAGACCATTTGTATTTAAGCAACCGCGCTTTATTTGACCATCTATAGGATTAAATATTAAAGTCCGCGCAAAAAATCACCTCGTGGAAATTAATTGTTTTTAAAGAGTTGTCTATCCTATCAAGAAGAGCATCGGAACAACATGATGGTGAAAGATAAACAGTACACAGAAGGATTGACAAGTCATTCACTTCACACAGGACAAATACAGCATTCACACAAGACAAGTGAGACAAGTATATGAATTTTAAATTCGGATTTGCTATTATTACGGCCGCTCCCAATTTATTTTCAATTATTGGACCGCAGCAAACCCTGTCAAGGGGCACAGGTAATGACGGTAAATTGTTTTTGGAAACTGTGAGTTCTTGCAACAATAGCACATCCGATTCCTCCTCGCGACATTTATTCAACAAGGATTACAAACAATATGTCTTTCATTGGCTTGAACACACTTGAGAACGTTCTTCGCACCAACAATTTATTGAAATTATCCTGTGCCTCCCGCATGTGTTTACACGCCATGGAATTGGCACTGTGTTTGTCGCCACACCTGTGACATTTCAACACAGTTTTGTTTTCACAGGTTTCGGAAAGATGTGCACCAGCGCAGTGGCTACATTTAGCCGCCCTAGTGCACTTCTTTCCGTTGGTGTGGGTTTTGTGACTTAAACTGCCACAGACACCACATGGGAAGACGCGCTTTGCTCTAGCGAGTCTCAGTGAGAGGAAGTCAATCGTGATCCTACCACGCTCGAGCAAGGCAGTCTCGACTTCCTTATTTACTTCTACTATCGCAGTGGAGGGGGCACCCTCTTTCTTAATCAGTTTCACCATCCTCATGTTTTCGCCACTTTTCAGCAGCTTTTCGACAACGGGATGGCTACTTATATCAGCCACAAGCTGCTCCTCAGTTTTCTCTCCAGGAATACCGAAGATAGCAAGCCTGGGCTTGAATGTGGGGTTTGTCCTGACTTTAAGTCCACCAATGTTGGCGGACTTAACGTTGTCCACAAGCCTCTTTTTTTCAGAGGGGTTGGCGAAGTGGAGGACAAGTTTTTTTTATCCCTCCCTGTCACCGCGGCTACATCACATTTTTTTTAAACTGGGAGTTTGGGCGATTTTTGCCCTAATCTCACTAACAGTGAGGTCCGCGGAAGCGAGCTTCACGTGGTTGGTGCTGTTACGCAGCATATGCGCGTAACTGGGCTTAGTTGGTTTAGCAGGCATAGCAACTGCATTGGTTAGCTGGGTGACTTTATTCGTCACAGGGGCTGGTTTGGGAGGAGGTGTTGGAGCATTGGGAGATCCTGCCAAGGAGGGAAGAGGCCTTATCGCAGACTCGGTAGAGGTGAGGGGTGAAGGAAAGACGATCGTCGAACGTAACGCCCAAGATGGTAAGGGTTTCGGGACAGGAGAGGGGGGGTGTCATCTATGAGGAGATGGGGAGGGTTGCAGTAAATAGGGAGGACCAGTGACTTATGTGGGGTGAGGGAGAGCTTGTTGTCCAGGCACCAAGAGTGAATGAGGTCGAGGGAGGACTGAGCTAGAGAAGGGAGGCTGTTGGAGGGGCCTGAGACGAGGACCTGAATGTCGTCTGCGAAGGCCTGAACGTGGACGCCGTGGGGGAAGGGGAGGGAGAGAATGGGGTTAAAGAATATGTTCCAGAGCAGGGACCCGCTGATGGAGCCCTGAGCGCACCCCCGCGAGGGAGAGGTGGAGCGAGAGAATCCTCGATAGGAGAAGTGGATAGAGTGGCTGGAAAGGAAAGAGCGGTAAAGTTGGAGGAGGTCGGGGGGGCAGGAGGCGGCGACCAGTCGACCGAAAAGGGCGGGATGCCACAGGTGGTCAAAGGCTGATTTGATATCAAGGCTAATGAGGAGACAGCACTGGTATTTGGAAACGGACAGTTTGAATTTTTGATGGAGAAGTGAAAGAGTTTCGGTGGTAGAGCGCCTCCGTCGGAAGCCGAATTGGTGAGGGTGGAGCAGGTGGTTACTCTTTCGAGTAGCTTGCTGAGAATGGGGAGAATTATAATGGGTCGGCATTTATGCTTGAAGTCGGTGGAGGAGGAGCGTTTAGGGAGGAGGAGGAGGCGACCCGCTTTCCAAGCGAGGGGAAACGGCATTGACATCTCCAGCGAAGAGAAGGCGAGGGGGGGGAGGGGAGCCAAAGAGGGAGATAAAGGAGTCGATGATGGGGGAGTAAGAAGTATGGTGGGGAAAGTAGACGGAACAAAGGGTGAGGTGGAAGCCGGGGATGTCCAGGATTGCGATAGTGCGGTTGCTAGTGGAGAGACGCGGGAGGAAGACTATGGGGAGGCTCTGGTTAAGGATCACTATGCAAGAGTTGCAGCGGTTGTTGGAGATGGGAGCGTGGAGGAGGAGGGGGTGGGGAAGGGGGAGGGGAGGACGTTGTCGTGGACTGGAAGCTCTTGGAGGAAAAGGATATCTATGTGTGAGGACTGGGCGAACTGTATTATGGAGAGGTAGCCGAAGAGGGATCGGTTGCAATTTAATTGTAGGAAGCTGATCATATGAGGTTGTGGGTGATTAAGAAAGTGTTTTCGGCGGCCTTGATGTCCGGCCAGGAGAGTGAGTCTGCCCGGTGTTGGCCGTCGCCGCTGCAACGGAAGCATTTGGGTGGGAGGGTGGTGGAGGTACAATCGTTGGTGTGGTGTGTGTCGCCGCAGTGTAGACACCTGGCTGGTTTGTTGCATATGTCGTTACGGCAGGGGTGCGTGGATCTGGTTCTTTTGAACCTGATGGAGTTGTAGCCGATGAAGAGGCGGGTGCGGGTTTGTATGTCGGTGGCGGTTTCGTGGTTTGTTTCTATGATGGCGTGAACGGAATTGTTGCGGCCGTTAAAGGTCCTGATTAATGTACAGTCGGGGCCGACCGATTGGGTGAGGAGGGAGGGTAGGTCATTGAGTGGGAGGGTGTTGGGGAGGTTAAAGAGAGTGAAACGGGGTTTAAATTTGGGGGGAAGGGTTACATTGATATCAGAGCCTGTGGTAGCGTGTTTAAGTTTGGCGAAAATGTTGTCCATGCTTGTTTTTGTGTTGGTGTGTAAGATTAACTTGTTCCTGGAGCGGAATATGTCGGTGATTTGGGTTGTGGGGGAAGCGAGGGTGGAGAAGCAAATTTTTGAGCGGAGGTTGTTGTCTATGGGGGTGCTGGCGGAGTTGTCTTGAGTGATGAGGATGTGGTAAGGGTTGTTGCGGTTAGAAGGGGGAGGGGGGCGGCGGGGTGGGATGTGTGTGGTGTGGCAGGGGGAGGGGGAGTAGGAGAGGGGGGTAGGGGTTTAGAGGTGGTGGAGGGCGGGGTTTTGTGGGTAATGGTGACTGGATGGTTAGGGGAGGTGTTAGCAACAACTCTGGTAGTAGGTGTTACAGGGGTATCAGGCAAGGTGCACGCTTTAGTAGTAGGGGGTAGGTGGGAAGAGGGATTTGGTTGGGCAGCCAAGAACAGTGAGGATGAATATTCTAGCTCGTGGATCCTACGTGTGTAGGAATCTCTGAGGGTGGCTATAAATTTTTCGAGGTGTGAAATGACACATGCGCCAAGATTGCTGTCTGTGTCACTGATATGGTGACACAGCATTGTACAGTTTTTGGCCGCCCAATCAAATGCCTGGTACAAGGATGTCGTGTTGGAGGTAATAGAGTAGGGCAAGGAGGGTGGAGGTGAGGTCAATGTGAAGTCACGTGACAAATTCAGGTCCTGTTCTGAGCTTGAGTTTGATGTGGCTGATGGAGGATGGATAGGGGTGGAAGCACTTACCCCAGGCCGGCTGCTATGGATGAGGTTACCTCCAATTGTTGGGTCCAATAGGGAGTCGATAATCCAAATTGTGCTTTATTTTTTTGGTTCCACAGATCTTCAACCATAATATTATCTCGCATTCTTATCTCATTTCCAAATAAAGTATGGGCTCTTTCGTCTGAATCTCGCTCAATCAGGTAATTGCGTAAATTGAAGGAACTTCTCCCAAGATTATGCAGTTCCATTTTATTCACTTGATCTATGCATTGATCCCACCATTCTGATAGCTCCAGTATGGAGGCAATGAGATTTGGTTTTTTTACATGGAGATTATGTAAAACAGTATTTTATCATGAATTTCAATAAAGGGCATAGCTTAATCGCAATTTCTCTTGTTTCAATATATTTCAAAAAAAAAAATCCAGTTGAATATCCGAAATTGGCATCAAAATCTCTGTAATTTCTTCCATCTCTAAATTATCGTTAATAATATTATTACATATATATATTGCAAGATAGCTAGAAGGTGAACAATCATCAATTCCTCTTATATTTAAATCTGCTCCAAACTCAATTAATAATTTTATAAGTTCTCTATTCCAAAAATATATTGCACAATTTAGAGGTAATGTTTCTTGATGATTTTTTTTCATTAACGTTTATACAACCTAACTCTAACAGAAATTTTGAAATTGAAAAATTATCTTCGATACATGCATGTAAAAATGCTGAATCACCATTATTGTCAGTTTCATCAATTTTCACTCCTGCTTTAAGTAATTCAATCAAAATATCCTTTTTGTTAGCTATTGCTGCAACTATTAAACATGTTCTACCATTTTCAGCTCTTGAATTTGCATCCGCGCCAGCTTCTAACAATAACCTAACATTTGTAAGACTTTCCATACGGGAAAAAAATAAGGGTGTACAACCTCTTTTATCACAAGCGTTTACATTTGAGCGACATTCTAATAAAATTTTGAGAATATTTATATTATCTTCTTTAGCTGCATACATCAAAGGAGTAAGTTCTTCTGAATTCTTTGCTTCTAAATCTGCATTTTTTAAATCAATATTTCGCAAAAAGATTTAAATTGTAAATACACAGCTAAATGTAAACATGTAATCGAGTTTTCATATTTCAGGTGAATATTTGCACCTTTCTCAAGCAAGAGTTCAAATAATTGAAGATTACTTTGATCAAGAGAAATAAATAGTGTTGTTTCTAGGGTGTGTGGCCGCTCAGGAGAACCCGCGTTTTGATTGGCTGCGGGCAAAAAACAAATTCTGGGAGGGAGAATCGGCGAAAGTTAACCCTTAGGTCATTTAGCTGGGGACATTCAAAAAATATGTGGTCAACCGTTTCAGGGGCGTGTTGGCAGTCAGGGCACATGACATCTCGCAAGAGGTCCCTCCTCCTATACCTGTAGGTTCTGATAAATGTGTGGCCGGTGAGGAAACCTGTGATAATTTGCGAAGAGGGGTGGATAAACTTTTGTTCTCTAAGGAGCGAAAGAGGGGAGATTTTGAAGGTCTGGTAGATGGTAGGGTTCTTATCACGGAATTCAACATCCCAGCGATCCCAGAAGCGGCGCGAGGTGAACTTGAGCAGGTGGTTATTGGAGGCCAAGGAATACACTGGGGGCGATAATGAGTCAGCGGCGGCTTGGCATGCCAGCAGATCGGCGAGACAGTTCCCAAAAATGCTGGCATGGCCTTTAACCCAGTGCAGGGTGACGTGTCTTTGAGGGAGGAGAGAAAAAAGTAGCCTCTGTATTTTGAAAACCAGGGGGAACCTTATATCGGGGTTGGAGATGGCGTGAAGAAGAGAAAAGCAGTCAGAAAAGATCCCAACAGAGAGGTTAGGAGGGAGGGTAGAGACGTCCCGGAGCGCCGTGAGGAGAACAAAGCTCTCAGCCTGAAATACGCTGCAGTGAGAGGCAAGATGTAGGGAGAGGGCCAAGGGTAAGATCCCAAGAGAGGAAGAGGAAATTCTAGCGATGCCAGAACCTACCCCCTTTTTGGTTTTGGATCCATCAGTAAAGTAGCAGACATCAGGAGCTGTAGGAGGGATGGGACGGTGAGAGAGATCGGGCAGAAGAGGTGGAGACGGGTAGAAGAAGGGAGAAGGTCTTTTTTCAACTTGGAAGGGCAAGGGCTCGGGTGGGCGCGAAAGCAAGGAGAGTAAAATGATTTTTAGATCGAGAGGAAGGACCCTAAGAAGAGTTATAGCAGCGAAGGTGGGGGCGCTATGAGGCGCTGGCTGTATGTTTGTGTGAGGTGTGAGAATGTTATGTCAAGGGTAGTTTCAAATTAGTCGGCGTTTGAGGGGGTGAGGATACAGGCGAATGGAGCAAGGAGTCTCAGAGAGGGGTAATCAATGGAAAAATGCTCGAGCAGAGCAGCCTCGATATCTTTGTTTACCTCTAATATCGCTGTGGAGGGTGAACCCTCGTTCCTTATCAGTTTAACAATTCTACAATCGGCGTCGTTTTTCAACATTTTCTCGAGAGCAGGATGGCACCTAATATCAGCCGCAAGCTGCTCCTCGGTTTTCTCAGCTGGAACCCCAAAGATAGTGGGCCTGGGCTTAAATGTAGGGTTCGACTGGACTTAAGACTGCCAATGTTAGCGGTCTTAACCTTGTCAACAAACCTCTTTTTTTCAAAGGGATTAGTTTTTTTTTTTTGCTTATCCCTAGTACACGTGGTACAGGCCATGATAATCATGGTGGGTAGTTAGCGACTGCTTTTACTGTAAGTGCACCACATGTCTACACATGTGAAAAGCAGTTCGACTTTGCACTTACTAATGCCAGAGCCCCGTTTGGTTACTTGCACTCGCTGGTGGGGTTGGACTTTTGCAAGAATCGGGGGCCATTGGAGCATTTTTTTTCTTTAAACAGAAAAAAGTGTCCAATGCGGGTTCGAACCCGGGTCCTAGTGGTCGAAAACCAAATGGTTTAACCAGGTGGAGGACCAGTTTTTTATCCTCCCCCCAGTCACAGCGGCAACATCCAAGTTCTTCAAACTGGGAGTCTGAGCAATTTTTGCCCTTAGCTCCTTGACAGAAAGATCGGCGGAAGCCAACTTAACATGTTTGGCACTGTTACGCAGCGTCTGAGCGTAGCTGGGTCGTGAGGGCTTGGTCAGATTAACACTGACACTAGCTGGCAGCGTGACTTTTGTCACTGGAGCGGATTTGAGGTCGCAGGCCTTCAGTTTGTTGGCCAGAATGTCAAACAAGGAGTGCTGCAGACTCGTCAACATCCCGTTAATTCTATGGTACATCACCCAGTAAGGTGATGCACCCATGTCCTTACCCAGGACCGTTCCTATCTTCCCATACACCATAGTTAGACATTCAGTGAAGCTGGTGCCTATTTCTTCCCACCCTTCGCCGAATGCCTGGTTGGAATCAAGAGGCCTGATGGGTGAAGTAGAGGGAGAGACCCGGGGATACTCACCAGTGGGAGGGATCTCAGGTTGAACAAGCCTGATTCCATGCCAAGAGGGGTCCATTGTATTAGCGTCGCTTTTTTTATTATTGCATCTAACCAGGGGGGTGTCCATCATGCCGTCGAGGGATGATCAGTGGAGCCTCGCTCGTAAGCTTTTAAATTACTCAAAACAAAATGACTCATGTAGAACTTGAGCCAAAAAAAGGAAAAACTCCGCAGGTTGTGGGGATGGGTGATACATGGGCACGGAATGTGCTGGTTGACAGTCAATATGAACAAGTTGGTACAGATGGGTATGATGTGGAAGGGATGACAGAAGTTTACAACAATATATGTACAACAAACAAAATGAGCAAGATAAACAACAAGGGGGAATGTGGGAACGTATGACAGACTACGGGCTATGGATTACAATAGGGAAAAATCATCAGACTGTGGAATATTTTCAGGCACAAACCTACCATAGTTGTTGCCGAATTCACACGCAGAATGCCAAAGAACACTGGAGTCGGCGAACTCAGAGAGGGTGGTTGGAATTTAAATCTCTCTTCAGAAACTGGCTTGTTAGAATAAGCTTCCTTTGCTCGTCCAAGTTTTCAACAGAATCTCTTCTGGAAGAGATAAATTTAAGCAACCGTGCTTTATTTGACCATCTGTCAAAAAAATACCTCGTGGAAATTGATTGATTTTAAAGAGAGGTCTATCCTGTCAAGAAGGGCGTCAGGACAACATGATGGCGAAAGATAAACAGTAAACAGAGGGATTGACATGTCATTCACTTCACATAGAACATTCACACACGACAAATGTTCATCACCTGTTTTCTCCAGACTTTCCCCACATTATAGTTGAGCCCTACCTGAAGCACAGTGGTTGTACCTGAAGGTCATCAGTATCTCTTCAGTTATTTCTTCTCATTTAAATTAGGATTAACAAATTGTGCAACATTTGTTTTGAGCTATTTCTTGTATACAAATAAAATGTCATTTGTGATCATCTATAAATTTTGTTCACAGAAATTGCTCCCCCCAATGTTGGGTTTGAATCTTGTCAGGGGAAAATTTGTAGCTTTCACCAGAATTTTTATTACTACTTCTAGTGTTTTTCTATTGAAATTTCTTAGTCCTCCAAGTATTAATGCCTTTTATATTTTTGAGTATTTTATAAAAGCCTTAGAGATTGAATTGTCCTCTTATTTTATTTCCTTTTGGCCCCATAAGAGCTATCCAGATTATTAAATGTTAATGTGATAAATTGTTGTGGTTTACAATACATACATTATCCCATAGTATCATTAAGAGGAGCCTATCATGGTAGAATTTGTTGTGGGTCCTGTTCTAGTCTGGTGGCTTCCATGCATGTCTACCCACCCATATAGTGGATGTACTTTGACACAATTGTAATCATGGGCCAGGTTTGTGGTGGTTGGAATGTCGCCAGGACTTCGCAGTGTGACCTCTATATTGTCGCTGGATTAGATTTCTTTCTCGGGGACCATGCTGACCCAACTAATTCAAGTCTGGAAACCATAGCCTTTAATTGATGCAATTATGTGGTTATTTAATTGAATTTTCTCTTTTAACACTTTGCTATATAGATTTTTTTTTTCTAAAAGTATTTTGAAACATAACAAACAAAAAGACACTATACAAAACATAAACAAAAAGTTTTTATTTATAATGTTTGGATTATCAGTAAGGTTGACCCAAATAGGTACTGTAAATAATGTCATTATGATACCAGACACTTGTTAGATTATGACAATGGAATTGTGTTAACATATATTTATGATCTGTTTATAGTGGCCTCTCTAGTTGATTAGCTAGCTATGCAAATTTACTTACTTATTTCTTTGTAATTGTGTAAATAATGTCATTATGATACCAGACACTTGTTAGATTATGACAATGGAATTGTTAACATATATTTATGATGTGTATATAGTGGCCTCTCTAGTTGATTAGCTAGCTATGCAAATTTACTTGCTTATTTCTTTGTAATTATGTAAATAATTTCACGCTTCATATATGTAAAATATTTTTGTTTAATAAATTCCAATAATGAGAATGGTGTCTTTATTTACATCCTGGCAATGCAACATCTACACAGTCATCTTCCATTGAATGGGGAATATTTAGAGCTCTTTCCACCTTATCCCACACCTTGATGGTTGCCAGCATTGATACAACAGTGTTGTGTTTTCTACAAGGGTGGATCAATAATAAATGATAAAAGTTTAATAGAAAAGGAAACAAATGTATATACACTTTTAAATTTAACTCTGTTGTTATATTAGAAAAAATTCTCAAGAAACCATCTGGCAACATTTTTTTCCAATAAAAATGGTGACCAAAACAAACAGTTGCACCAAGTATGAAATGCGATCAGTAGTACTTTTTTTTTTTTTTAAATCATGAAGGAGTTAAACCATTTCAAAATAACTCCAGAATGAAATATGTTTACAGTGATAAATGTGTACCTCAAATTGAATTTTTGAGTAGGTTAAAAATTGAAAAGCGGTATAGAAAGTTTGGATGATGCACCGCGACCTGGCACCTCGTCTAAGGTTTGTGATGATGTAACCACCTGGCCCATTGACGAGATGATACAATACAAAAAAAATCTCATTCAGTACTTTTGTCTGAAGATGGTAACAACGCTGTTACAGAAATGTCACACACTATTTATTTGGATTTGGTCCATTACCTTTTGTTTAGAGTGTCTAAAATAAAATGATTTCCTACTACAGTAAAACCTCCCTGTAAAGGACACCTAATTGCAGAGCCAAAGTGTCCTTTAGGGAGAGGTGTCCTCATACCGGGGAATTGCTAAATTGTAAAAATGGTAATTTTGCAAATGAAAACAGTCCTTTGTGGAGAGGTGTCCTCTAAAGGGAGGTTCTACTGTAGTCTCATATTTGAATGGGTATAGAAGAATGTAATCAAGATGTTTAATATGATGTGCAGAGAGTGAAAACTACAGGCTTTCCTATAGAGAGTTGTTTAAGGTTCGGCAAAGACTCCATTAGCCACTTTGAGAAGTTAGGTGGCTCAGAGTTAGAGAAGAGTAGACATGTTCAAAGTAGTGTAATTGATAGAAAGGAATCAGAGTTAGACAACCAACTCCTCAGAGGAATGAAATTACCTCACCTAGACTCATTCAGATTGATCATCAACATAGTCATATTGATATTTTGCCGTGTCACAATGCCCAGCATAGTACACATTTGTACAATTGCCACTATTTCTTTAGAGGTTGTGTAAATTAGGCTAGATAGTTATTTTTTATTCGTTATCATTAACCCATGTTTATTTTAATCTTATTATATTATGGATTTATATTTAAAGGGAATACCTAATAGAATATTTGTGCATAGTAATGTCATGAACTTGTGAAAGTGGCTAATTTTTTATATATATCATTAAAAAATTTTTTTGAGAGATATTTATTGTTTGGTTCTTTAATGTGTGGATGCTTAAAGGATCCATGTCTTCCGCATTGGAGCACCAAAAACTTTTCTTGAATTATCCCTTTAGTTTTTGATGCTTGTGGGAGGGGAGAATGCTGAAGACGAACCTAACAAAATTAGTTGTAAATAGCTGGTGGCCTAAATAAATGGAATGAAAGTAGCGGAGCAATGTTTATAATAAGAAGAGCTCACCTGTATGTTAGAGTGTTGTGGCAGGACAGTCCCTGAGGACCAATTCTGACAGCCAACTGTAGCATGCAGCCTGGACTATGAACCAAGGAAATGCCATGTTACAGGGGCTCACCTGTATGTTAGAGTGTTGTGGCAGGGCAGTCCCTGAGGACCAATTCTGACAGCCAACTGTAGCATGCAGCCTGGACTACGAACCAAGGAAACGCCATGTTACAGGAGCTCACCTGTATGTGAGAGTGTTGTGGCAGGGCAGTCCCTGAGGACCAATTCTGACAACCAACTGTAGCATGCAGCCTGGACTACGAACCAAGGAAATGTTACAGGAGCTCACCAGGGAGTGTGTGTGAGGAGCTATACCAAGCCTGTTGTAAGTGCTGGAAAGTGTTGCCAAAATATTTTTTATAAAAGGGCCTACAGACCTCCCTGGCCTTCCTAGGGACTACGCACCTTATGTGACCTGCCACACCCCGACTCCAAGAGGCCCTCAGTGATGGAGGCAGACCTGTGAGGTTCCATAGCCTGAAGAAGATGACTAGTCAATAGAAAGGCCTGAACCCCAATAACCACAGCCTCAACCTTCAACTGAGATGAAGGCCCGGAACACATCACCCAATAAAGTATGAAATTGTCTTTTGTTCTTTCTATTTTTTTTTTTTAATATTTATAATTTCATTTAAAAAAAAAATAAACATAATACATATAGATATCATTAGATTATATGGATTGCTCTATTTTCAGAAAAAAAAATATATATATCATTTTGAAAATTATATATATAGTCGACTCTCGATAATTTGAAACTCAAGGGACCAAAGAAAATTTATCAAAATAACAAGAGTTTAAACAACTAAGAGGTTTCGTGTCTTGCCCTTTGTCAAACACGTTTGATCTCAAATTTTACACTTGTTCAATTATTCACAAATCATCATTTTAGAAAGAAGTCAGTAATTGATAAGGCACAATTTGGATTATTGATTATAAACACAAGGTAATAAGAACAAATAGTGTGTGACGTTACAGCGTTGTTACCGAAACGTCGCACACTATTTATTTGGTCTTATTACCTTGTGTTCAAGTCAGTGGTTTTTTGTTGAGTGAGTATCATTGTCCAATGAATTTTAAATAGTGAGAATTGTGAAGAAATCATTATTTGTGGCGCATAGGGTAGTAAGAGATATCCTTGCCTCGCTCGGCGTGGGAAATTTGAGCTCTAACTTTGTTTAGTTAGTTCACACGTTAGGTCTGGCTTGAAAAAGTCACCGGCAACATTTTCCTCATTTTTCAGATAGAATCTTACATTTTAATAAAATCAAGTAAACAAGAGTTTAATCAAAATTCAAGATTTATTATTTTAAACATTTGTAGTCATTGACAAATGTTTATTTGTGGTAAAATACTATTCCAACAACTTCAAATTACCGAGGGGACCTTTTAATATTGAATTTATTCAAATTATCGAGAGTAGACTATATGTACAGTATAACCTCGTTAATTCGACACTCGACTATAATTTGGCCATCTTCTAATGTCCTGACCACCAGCCTATCAAATAACAAACCGTAATTCGACATTATCAATAATACGACACTTCCGATAGTTCGACCATTTTAAAATTCAAATTTCAACAGTTGAATGTGTAAAAATACAACTATACCGCTAAAAAGGTATTACAGCGGCGGCGACGATAGGATCGCGCCTGTGCACTATTGGTTTCTGTTGTAGGTGATCATTTTAGAAATTCCTAAGAGAAAATATGTAAATTGTTCTAGCTGTTTGATTTAGAAGTTGTGTATGCAAATTTCTTTTTGTAAAAAGTTTTTTTTATTTTTTTTTTTTATGTTTGGTATATCTAAAAATTGTATGCGGAGAATAGAGGTTTTTCTTTGGGTTGCTTGTTATGTGTAAATGAGTGTGGAAGCTGATCTGTTTTGTTTAAAGATAATATATCAGTGATATATTATTACTTTACTCTGTTTTGATCATCTTGTTTTTATCATCATCTTGTAGACAACAAAATGTTTGTGAAACAATGAGCACATGTGCAAGAATTGTAAAAAGAATAAAATAATTATAATAGCATAAAATTGGTGTATCTTTCATTTATCTTTAAATATATATAAAGTGCAATTTCTTATAAAATAATTTTCACCATTAATATTCAACCTTTAATAGAAACGTATCAAATGGCGACGAAGAATTAATGTAAGTATGGCCACCACTAATTCAAATTATCCAAGGTTTCGTGAAGGTGAAGATCTAAATTGTTATTTGGAACAATTAGAAGAATGTTTTAAATTGAACAAAACATTAGAAGCAGACAAAGTATCTGTGTTATTAACGTCTATTGATGTTAATGTTTATAAGACTTTGCGCAATTTGTTGGTACCCAGTAGGCCAAGTGACCTTAAATATAAAGATTTAGTAGAGGTTTTAACCAACCATTTATATCCAATAAAAAATAAGCACTATGAAAGATATTTATTTCACAAGATTGTACAAAAAGAAAATGAGCCTGTGGGAAAATTTGTTTTGAGGCTTAAATCTCAGGCAGACAAGTGCAAATTTACTCACATAAATGAAAATTTGTTTGACCAATTCGTAAGTGGTTGCTACGATGAAGTTAGGCTTAAAAGGCTGCTAAGTGAACCTTTTTTAACGTTTGATAGTACAATAAATATTGCAAATTCTGTAGAGGCAGCGAAGTCACAAGTAAATTTGATGAAAAATCCTGGTCATGATATTGATAAGTTGAAAGCCAGATCTAATAATTTTAAATTCCCATGTAAATACAATAATCCATGCAAAATTTGTGGAAAGCCTAACCACGATACGAAGTTATGCAAATTTAAAAATGCTCAATGTTATATTTTCAATAAGAAAGGGCACATTGCTCCAGTATGTTGGAATAAAAAATCGGCCCAAAATTCTGGAATGAATAAACCCAATCTGAATAAATTGAATACTATTCAGTGCAACACATTAGAAAACGCACCAAAAATATTGGTAAACGTTAAAATTGAAGATGCAGACACTATAATGGAGGTTGACACTGGTGCAGACGTGTCTGTAGTTTCAAAGAAAATTTTTCTTACAAATCTCAAAAATCACTCTAGAGGAATACAGTGGAAATTTGAAAAGTTTTTCGGGAAATTTGATTCCAGTTTTTGGAAAATGCTTGGTAAATGTTAGTTACAAAAACTATCAGGAAAAACTACCTCTAATTGTGACAGGCGAAATATATATAAAGTGCTACTCTTTTTGTGTTGATTTCTTGCTTCCCTCTTTCTTATTATATTTTTGTTCTTGGTTTTTCTTTTTACTCTGTATATATCGTTATTTCCTTTGTCTCACTGCTTTGTTCTTATGCATACCTCTGGTGAATCCTGTATAGGGTCAGTGACCCTAAATAAAGGCTTTTTTGTTGTTGTTGGAAATATATATAAAGTGCAATTTATTATAAAATAATTTTCACCATTAATATTCAACATTTAATGCTCTGTGCGGATGCATTTTCAAGATTTCCACTTGAGGAAATAAATTCAAGGCTGCTAAGTGAACCTTTTTTAACGTTTGATAGTACAATAAATATTGCAAATTCTGTAGAGGCAGCGAAGTCACAAGTAAATTTGATGAAAAATCCTGGTCATGATATTGATAAGTTGAAAGCCAGATCTAATAATTTTAAATTCCCATGTAAATACAATAATCCATGCAAAATTTGTGGAAAGCCTAACCACGATAC